ATTTAATTTTACAGAAAATGTCTCAGCGAGCTTTAGCATTCAAGTATCTTCATTCAAAGAAGGATACTTGACTTTCTGGCTATGACATGGATGAATTAACCAAAGTTTTAGTCAATAATAACATCTATTCACCTGAGATGTCAGATCCTGATAAAGAAATAGATGAAAGAAGTCATCTATATGTTAACGTCTATGATTTGGCTTGGAGGTTAAAAAAGATATAACTTTTTTTTTTCTGTTACACTAGCAAAAATTCGATCACCATTTGATTGATATTTAGTATATCAAATGATATACATAGTATATCATTCGACATACCAAACATCAGTCGAATAGTGATAACAGAAATACTAATTTAATTAATTTATTTGCATATTGATTTTTTCTTTTTATTTTAATAGTTAACCGATTTGTTGTATAGTGTCCTCGATACAGCCATGTAATTTAATTCCAAATGTCTCTACCAAAGCTCATATATGTTGATGGCTCCTCGATCTAATAATCTGCCTGATTGGGCAGTAAGGGATGAATATGATGATGAGGAGAATAAGGAGGATGAAAAAGAAGAGAATGAAGAGGATAAAGAGGATAAGTTAGATAAAGATGAGGGTTCTGATGATAATGGTGAATGAAGGGATAACAAAGAGAGAAGTGTCAGAAGTCATAGTAAAAAACCAGCTTTTGATATCATAGAAGAACCTTCAAGAAAATGAAGTGTTTAATTTTTTTTTTTCTTTCTTTTTTTATTTTTTTTTTAAATTTTATTCGCTTCTTTTTCTTTTTTTTTCTTTTGTTTTTTTTTCTTTTTTCTTAAATTTGTATCTAATTTGTTTTAATAAATTTATAATATGTTAAAATTATTCAGAATTTGATTTGTATGAATGTTATTAGTAATTGATTATCGATTATTAATTGACAATCAATTGAAGTAGCCAATTCAACTTGAATTCAGCTATCGAATTTATACCAAATATTATTAGTAAGCAGTTGTTAATTATTAGTTTTCGGTAGTTGATTATAAGTCAATTTATTGTAATTAATCGACTACCAAATGAAATGGCCGAATCAACCTAAATTTAGCTAGTACTTCACAAAATCAAATCAAATTTTGAATTTGAATTAAATATTTGATCAAATTATTAATTTTATTTGGTCAAATAATTTTAAATATTTGGTTCAAATTCAAAATTTAATTTGATTTTGCGGAGTACTAAATTCGGCCATTGAATTTATACCAATTTTATTTCAAATTTTATAAGTATTTGGTAGTTGATTATAAGTTGATTTATTGTAATTAATCGACTACTGAATGAAATGGCCAAATTAACCTAAATTCGGCCATCAAATTTATACCAATTTTATTCCGAATTTTATAAGTATTTGGTCATCGATTACAGGTTGATTTTATTATATCAATTGGTTGTTGATTAAAATTTTCAACCTGAATTTGGTTGCCGATTTTTTATTAGCATTCGACTGTCTATTAGCTACCGATTTACTCTATTATTCAGTATAATATTAGCCAAATATTCAATGATCGAATTTAGGTTGATTTGGCCATTTCATTCAGTGGTCAAATTTTTATATTCGACTAGTAAACTCTGCTATTTACCTTAGTATTTTCCTTTGTGGGTTTTTGATTTGTATCTTGATGAAGTTTTCCTATTCTATTAAGGTAAATGCTAAAATTTTTGGTCTTGATTCTTCAATTAGTTTGTTTAAAGTTTCCTTCTCTATAAGACCTTCAATATCTCTTCCTATGATTCTTTTCTTCAATATATCTTCTTTTTCTTTAGCTTCTTTATATTTTTGTTCTAGCAGCTTTGCTTTCTGTTGAACTTGCATCTTTTTTATTTCCTTTCTAATTTTATTTTTTCTTTTTTCTTCATGTTATTTTATTTCTATTAATTTTACAGATTCTTTAAAGTACTGTGATAATAATCCTAATGTTATTTTATTATGCTGTCTTTGTCGACACTTTCTCTGCTTGTCTAGTCTTTTCATCCATCCTGTTTCTATTCTAGCTTTTGCATACTTGGCAGCCAATCTTTCTTTATTATATATAAACAGTCTTTTTCTTTCTGCTGCATACAGATTTCTTATAATACTGGTTACTTCATCTTGTAGGATGTGTTCTGTTGGGTCGATTTCTAACTGTATCACCTCTTGATATGCTGTATTATTTCTTTCCTTGAGTACAAGTTCTGTATATTTAATTCTTTTTGCTCTATATTGTCTCAATTCTATATGAATTGCTGCTATTCGTTCCTTCACTTGTTCTGCTATTATAGGTTTTGTTTTAGCATTTTTGATTGTTTTTTGCTTTACGTAACTAATTTGTTGTTGTGTTTGTATATCTCCTTTGTTTTCGTCTGTCACATATTTTTTAATGTGTTTTCTTTGTTTATTCTTCATTACGTGTTGTATATCTTGTATGATAGTAACTGATCTGCATTACAAGGTTAAGACCAATCCCCCAAATGACTTGCAAAAGGCAAAATTATCAACAATTTTTCAAGTTTTTCTACTATATCTTTGCCGCTTCTGCTTTATTTACTTAAGTCTCTTAAAAGACTGAGTATTATTTTTAGTCTTCTTGCTTTTTACTTAGAGTTGCAAGTTTTGTTTTTTATAGCTATTTGTGTTTCTGTCATTTTTTATTGTTGTTTTGTTTCTGTATTTTTGTGTACAAAAGATTAGCAAAGAGAGTTAATATAAATTATATGAAAAAATATTGAGCTTTACAACTTTTAATTAATTGATTTTAATTATTAACTTAATAAAAAAATTACTTATTACTACATTCTGCTTAGATTTCAGTATATAATAAAAATTTATATTGTATTTATCCCCAAAATTTATTATCTCGATATAGTAATTCTGCTGATCTTATCTGGATTATTTTTTTTTATAATACGGCTATCCTGTCACTTTTATTTAGAATTAAACTAAACTAAGAAATTTACATTTCTTAATAATAGCTATACTAATCTACTCATAAAGCAGCTTATCCACACTTTTACCAAATATAACCAGCCTCAATAAACTTCAAATCTCTTTTCAGACCCCTAACTTACTAGAGGTTATCCTTTAATTATGAACTGGTACTACACACACATATTAAAATTAGCTTACTTTTTATAAAACAATGCACAGACATAAATACAAAGGGCAAAAGAAAAATAAAAAACAAAAATAGCATTATTAAACCCATGCTGGATTGTAAAAATTATATAATATTATAAATAAACTAGATTAAACTTTATATTAGTTATTTATGTCTATATCTAAGATATAAAATATTAAAAACCATCTGGTCTTGAAATAGAGCTTCAAAGTCAAAACTTTTGGTTGCTATTCCAACTAGGTCGGCAGGTCTTCTGCAGTGTTTTAAACATTATCACATTATCTAATACTATTTATCTCAAAATGAACACATATACATGTATGTGTTTTTCCTTTTTTAACAGTTGTTACTATATAAATTTTTTGTTAAGATATGCTATTTTTTTTACTTTTTGGTAAAAATTTTGTAAAGTGCAAAGAGTAAAATTTGGTTAAAGGTTTTGGTTTGCAGATATCCTTAAACTTCAGTAAAAAGTATGTTGAAAACTCATTTGTTGTTTTCCTTTAAACCAACTATTATCTAACTTTATCAACAGAAACAATGCTTTTATTAAAATTTTTTATACAAAAACACCACCTTGTTACTAGTTATCTTGTACAAAAATACTTTTAACTTGCATACCAAATATACAAAAAAGTCTGAATAAAATGCAAAAGTCTTAACCTCTTTAAAAACCATTATTTTATAGTTGTCTCTTCTACTTTTTTTCAACAATAGTTGTCTCTTCTACTTTTTTTCAACAAGTTTCTGTTTTTGTTAGACATAAGTTTGGTACAGTAATCGTCAAGAATAGTTGTGCAATTTTAATCTAATCTTATCTGAATTATAAAAAATTAATTTTTACCATATTTATTTATTTATATTTTGTATTGTTTAATTTAATTAAATTTGATCAATTAAATTTAATATAATGCTGAATACCAGAGATTTGATATATACACATTGACGGGTCAAATTAGTTTTTAGGTCAAGTTAAACTTGACCCAGGTCAAATTAATTCCTAGCAGAATTTTAGGGGTAGGGTGGACCGGAATTATGTTGATGCTGGCCGGTGTTTTTTAATTGATCTAACTTGACCTAAAAATCAATTTGACCCGTAACATATATATATTAGATATGCATATTGTGATAATATTTATATAATTAATATAAAATAGCAATTTTTTTAAGGCAATGGCATGTCAGGGGTAACATGCCAGTGGTCACCATACCAGGTTCCCTGCTGTCGGGTGACTTTCACCTAGGTGAAAATAGAAATTCCCATACATTAAATATAAATAGTACTGTATGATATTATTTATTCTAATTTATAAATTCATTAACCATTGTCTATTATTCAAAGACATTAAATCCAAGTTTGAAAAAACCAAATATACATTAAATTAACAAGTGACTCATTTACAGATCATTGTTTAACTAACTGAACAACATCTTCGTCAGCAAGTATGTGAGTCAATCCAACCTTCTGGGGTTGATGTTTGGCGGAACTACCCCATACCAAAGCACTAAAAATAAAACAAAAAAAAATATTAAACAATGAAAGTGAAGTAGAATTGACATGTACGAATTTGTAAGAAATGGCTTACTATTTGAATTGTTTAACGATTCCTCTATGAATACTATTACAAAAATCTTCAACAGTACAAAGGTTTGATCGTAAAACAACTGGTGCACTATAATCAGGAAGTTGACCCTTTGGTTTTGTGTAGCTAAAGTATAATATAATGAAGTTAAAGAAGGTTCTTTTTTTTTTTTTATCAGAATTTGAAAATTTGAAATTATTCGAACTCACATTCTGAGAAGATTAAGATATTCCCACATCTTTTCCAATAGTTCATCAAAGTTCCATTCCTAGAATCAATTGTGAGACATTTTAGATTGTTGATTGTATAGCTAAAATTAATTTAAAAAAAGTCATGCGATGTGAAAGAAACGTTACGTGATGAGCAGAAATAGGAACCGCATGTGGAATTTTATAAATTAAGTCTAATTCTTCTATACTTATTTGATCGATCTGAAGAAATAAATCAAGTATTAAATAAATAAAATTCTAATAAATTTATTAATACGATACACATTAATTGAAATACCTTGTTAAGGACATATATTGCGGGTATGTAAATACGTCCTTCAATAACATCGATCAAATCGTCGACGGTAGCATCACACTTGAAGTTGACATCAGCATTATGAATTTTGTACTCACTTAACACTGCTTTGACCTGATCCAAGTCTAAATGAGTTAATGGAACAGTGTTCGTCATGTTGATGCCTCCTTTATCCTTCTTTTTAAAATAAATATTTGGAGGTTTCTTATTTAACCTGATGCCAAATCCCTCCAATTCAGTTTCAATAATTTTTTTATGAGTAAGAGGTTTCAAAACATCGAGTACTAGAAAGATGAGAGAACAAGTACGGGCCACCGCAATGACTTGTCTACCACGACCTCTACCATCCTTCGCACCTTCAACAATACCGGGTAGGTCGAGAATCTGAATTTTAGCACCTTTATATTGAAGCACGCCTGGTACAGTAGTCAAGGTAGTGAATTCGTACGCAGCAACGGCCGAAAAAGTGCCAGTCAACTTTGACATTAGCGTCGACTTTCCTACTGACGGAAATCCTATAAAATGAAAATTAGACTAAACATTGATACCATTATATCATAAGTTGAAAAAATTAATAATTTTAGAAAGCTCGTACCAACAAAACCGATACGAGCAACACCAGTTTTCGCAACATCGAAACCAACTGAATGAATTATGTTAATTGTGAGTTAGTAATGAACTTTGTAAATTAACAGATCTCAAACCAAATAGTGAGAAAACATACCACCGCCGCCACCACCACTTCCACTAGAGGGAGCTATTAATTCTTTGCGTAATTTTGCCAATTTAGCTTTTAAAGTTCCTAAGTGGTATGATGTAGCTTTGTTCTTTTGCGTACGAGCCATTTCGGCTTCAACTGTCAGGAAGTAAAAAAGCATCATTAGCGTTGATCCAAGCTTATCAACGGTGATCGAAAATACGGTACGCAAAGTAGCGATGCCCAACTTTCTTTTATCTTATCAACAATAGAAGCCATTTTTCAGGTTATTAATCTGAATTGAAAGGAAATGAGACGAGAGAAAAGTAATCGAAATATCGAGATTCTAAATTTTACCAGTAGTAATTTTATCACCAAAATTTATAATAGGTTGTACAGAATTCAGAATTTCTAGAAAATTCTATTAAAAATCCCGTAAATTGACTTCGCTTTCTATTTCTGTATTTAGAGTGCCAGGTTTTGTCGATCATTGTGCGCAGGTTCCTGATCCACAAATCAAATCTCAAGAATCAGGTGTAACCTTAAAGTGCCATAACAAAAAGGATTCCTTGAGTGATTTTACGTACTACATAACTGCCTAATCTCTAACTTTATTCTAAGTGCCAACCCTAACGTTAATGAATTTTAAGAATTTTTACAATGTCACAGTGATCGACAAAACCTGGACAGATTTTTTGAGTGCGAGTTGCAGACATTAAAACATACGCTATGACAGCTGCTATGACATATATGATGTAACGTACGTAAAGGATGACGTGAAAAGATAGCTACCTTTGACCTTTTAAATGTCTGCAACTATAATTCTATCAAAAATAAGCACCCATATTGATCATAGTAGCGGGTAGTTTAAATAAAGCTGGCCGTATTATTGCTTAATGCCACTTTGCTCTGGCCCATCCCTGACCTCAAATTCGGGCTGATTTGCTGAATTTTGGTGGACCCACTTAGTAATATAAATTGAATTTACGCAATAGGTGCAGCGTATATAGATTTGAATTTGCGTATATATCAGTCTGCATCAATAAAAATTTTTTGAATTTATAACACTAGAACCACTAATTTATTCTTATTCATGATAGGATTATTGCTATCTAAACATGATTTTTTCCAATCAAGCTACAGTAATAAATTTGCGCCAAAACTACAGTTTCTGATCAAATAAGTTGTAATTATAATGGCATATATGGGGTGCTTATTTATAATTAAAAATTTATTTATATAGGATGCTTATTTATAATAGGTGTTTATTTTTAATAGAATATAGTATTAACTATTGCTATATAATATTACAAACTCTAACTTGCCAATATATCGAAATTTGCTATTGAAGACATGAATTTAAATATTAAGACTAAAGGTTTCAGTTACAATTTGTGAATCCTTAGATCGATCCTAAATTCTAAATTTCTAAATTTCTAGATTTGTTTTAGATTTGAAATTCGAGATTTATTTTGTTTTGTCTCTCATTTTGGGATAAACTATTACTACGAAGAAACATATAGGTATTTCCCTTCTGCTATCGAGCAACCTACGCAGTTGTTTATAGAATCGTGCAACATGCTCTTTCTTTCTCATTTTTCATTTTCTTTTGTATTATGACTGTCGTTCCGACAGGCCATAAATTATCATTATTTTGTGACTGTCGTCTCAACAGGCCACATTTAACGTTTTCCAGCATACAATCCTAACGGATCCCACCACCTACTCTTATTTTATGACTGCCGTCCCAGCAGGCCACAAAAATTATGCGTCGCTCTAACGCGGGTAGGGCGGGAGGGATCGATATAACCAGAACGAAAGTCGGGTTCGCAGAAAAGACAAAGCTAATTCCCATTATTTTCCCACTTACTTGCTAAATATACTACGATCCAATTACCTCATAATGAATCGATCGTATTACTAATAACTTGATTACCTCATACTTACGTTCTATCAGTCAACCGATCGATCGAACATGTGATTGTAACCGGGTCTGTCATATGTTCGATCGGATGGCACATGATTCGAGACAAAAGCTGCCTCGATACTTACGTATCGAGCAGCTATTTATTAGTAGTGATCTTGGTCAATGACCAAAAAAATTGGCCAAGCTGATTTTTCGACCCAGCCAGTTGATTTTTACAAAATCAACTGGTCGATTTTGTAAGAAGATAGCTTTCTCAAATTGTGCACTATTAGCATTTCTTATATTGATTAATTAGTATTATACTATATCTGTTAAAAAACTTTACTTATATTTTATAGTTCTTGATAGCTTAACAGCCAATTTTTTAGCAACAATCATAATATTAATATTAATAATAAAGTTTACAAATACTGTAAATTTGTCAATTAACATTACTTTGGTTTGAACTAGTCAAGCTCACATTAATTTATTAATAATATATTATTTTACCAAATCATAATAGGTTAGTAATATTCAAAAAATTTTCTTATTTTGTATAGAATAACCTAAACTTTCAGACTTTGATTAGATGATTCAAAATCAGACTTTGGATTGAACCTATGAAGTGTTAATATAAGCATAATGCAACACAAGTAAAAAGATAACAAACCAGATATAAATCAAGCACCTAATTTTAAAATGATTACTAACTGATTACTGCCTGATTTGTGTTTATTATTGTATCAAATCGTCAGTATAACAATTAATATAAATCAGGCAGTAATCAGATAGTAATTAAGCAGTAATCAATTAGTAATCAGTTTAAAATTAGGTGTCTGATTTATATCTGGTTTGTTATCTTTTTATTTGTACAAGCTAGCTAATATTATACAAAATTACAATCTAAGCAACTTTACTTAGCTTATTGGTTACTAAAATTCATTAAAATTTGCTAATTTTCAAATATAATTAATTAAGTTCAAAGGCCAAGTTATACGAAATAGAAAAATTTTTTAAATATTATTAATTTACTAACCAAATTAATCAAAGTTTTTCAGCTAAGCTAACTAAGCTGATAAAATTTTATTAGCTTAGCCAAAAAAATTTTGATCAACCAAAATCACTATTTATTAGTCAATTAAGATATTATACTAAAGTAATTATCAAACTATAAGTAGGAATATATAATTAGATATTTTTATAAAGATTTGAATTTATTGCAGATAATAACAACTTTTAATATATTTTTTTTTGAACTATCATAATAATTGTAAGTTTGATTTGTTGTAAGTAATATTTTAATTTGTTTAAAATAATGTAATAATTAGTATTTTTTTAATTTATTTATTTATTTTTTTTAAGTTTTATAATTAGCTTCTTTGAGACTAAGGTTTTTATTCAAGTTTATAGATAAAAGCTTGTTTATAGAACTCCATATATTTATACAAATGCAACTCAGCTTGTTCACCAATACTTTCCTGCCACAATTATCTATTGTAAGAAGTCACAGATGCTTTCCTTATACCCTTAGAACATATTTATCCTTGAGACATTATTAGCTAGAGCTTTCCTTATCTACAATCTGGCTAATCTAAACTTTAGTAATTTACATTATATTTGAAGACAAGTACTTGTAAGCCGAAGTCACTATTGTTACCTACTTCTGCTTTTGCAAAGTTTACCTAAACCTCAGCACACACTTTATAGACTATCACCAATACCTAAGTTCTGTCAGTAACCTAAACTCCTAATTCAGATAGCCCAGAAGGGCTGTGACCTGCTCCTGGTCCTTATGGTTAGGTCTTTTTTCTCCAGTTACTTGTTTGGTGGCCTGGTTGGTATAGTGTCTTGCCAAATACTAGTTCTTATCTAAATCACTAAAATCAGTATCTGGATCTCTTAGATAATCTTTTATATAGTACTGTCAAAGATCTGTGCTACCTCTTTACTTAGAACTTGCCAAATAGGCTTCTGTGTACTCTAATACTTGGATTTACACAGCTGTTTTACTCAGATTTCATGTAACTTATGTGTCACACTACAGTTTTATAGCTTCTTAATAACTCCTGGTACAACCAAGTTTACAGATCTAATGATTTATCAGATTATACACAGTCTGCCATAATATATTCTGTAAAATTCAAATTTCATTGCCAGTAGGATTCGAACTTTTGTCCTACTACTTGGGGTGTGACAACTTGACCACTTTACTAAGTCATTACACCCTTATTTTTTTTAATCCATTTCAGTTGATCTTTAGTATAGGTAGGCATATATAATTAATGTATTATATAATTATAATATATATAATTTAATTATTTTGAACTAATTTAAATAATTTTATAAATTATTAGGGTTAGAGTTAAGGTTAGGGTTTAAATTAGCTTAAATTAGTTAAGTTTTATATATT